AAACTAAAGTAATAATTCAAAACAATTCAAACATAACCTAAAATAAAAGATCTCGCCGGCCGGCCCCGGTTGTCAAATACCCGCACATGCCCATTTAAGCAATTTTTAAACGTTTTTAGAAATAGCGCTTGGTGTAATTGATCCGCAAATTACGTCAGGCGGTAACGTTATTAGCGGGTGTTGCGTTAAAAATTGACTCGCGCATATCGTAACCATGTCAGGCGCTGTGCACAATTTTACAGGCCATAAGTGGGCGTGCTATGTGCGCAAACTAGTAACGTAACTAGTGCCCGATTCCGAAAATTTGAACCACGAAAAACAATAAAGAAAAAACAAAGTTTATAATCTGTATGATCTGTGATCGTTCTCTTTTCTGTCCCTTGATCATTCTATCTTCTGAAAAAGAGGACTTTTTCAATACGGTATTTCTCCCGTATTGAAAAACACCCAAAATACAGAAAATATTCATCTATTGCCAAAATTCTTAATAAAATTGTTAATCTGAAAACAAAATGTGTTTTCGGTACTCCCACTCGTTCGTACAGAAAAGCAATATTTACGTACAAGAAATACAATATAATCGAAAAAAATGTCGTCAGCGATGGCTATGAAATGAAGATCTCTGTTATTTTATATGTAAAATCGAATGTAAAATTATATGGGGAATGTCATCGATGTTCATTTCCAAGCCAACACCAACTGGACGTCATCATATGGTATTACGCCTGCGTAGTGATGTTGGTGGCGAATATTTCCATGCGAATTTTGCAAGAAATTTCAGAAATTTTCGAAATATTTGGTCCCAAAATCGCGAATATTCGCAAAAATCCGAATTTTGCAAGAAATTTCTTTTCAAAATTCATGACATTGAGCAAAAATTTAACGAAAGTGTATCAAGTATGCCGATTCTTAAGTCAGAAGAAAAAGAATGCTTCTCCGCCTTACAAAATAAAAAACCTATGGCTCTTGAACCAATGCATTTTGCCGCGAATCTCTTGGACCCCTGTTTCCTGGGTGAGCACCTTAACAATGAAGAACACATAGCCGCTATGGAATTTATCAACAATATCACCAACAATCATCCTCAGTTTGTCAATAATAAGCCATTTTACAGATGTAACAAATTATTGCGCCAAATCGGGTTTATGGGCTCTCGACTACGTTTGGATGTCAGTTAAAAATGTAGACTGTCTAAGTTGGTGGCAAGCAATGTGTAAAAATACTCAGTTGAAATCGAGGTTGAAATATTTAGCTGTTGCTGTCTTTACCAACGTCATCTGCAGCCACAGAGAGAAGTTTCAGTACTTACAGTTTTATCCATACTAAAAAAAGAAATCGCTTAACTGCACAAAGACCCGGTAAAATAATGTTCGTAGCTCATAATAAATTATTACTACAAAAACAAAAAGTGGATATGGAGCATGATATTCAACAACATGAAATTCCTCCAGAACCACTAGAACACGTGGAGGTAGAGGTCCATCCTTCAGAATCAGAACCAGATGATACATCAAATATATCTGATTTTGGAAATAGAAACTGACGAATGCAGTACTACTATTACTATAATACCCTATGAAGATTGGACCAGCTCGGCGCCTGATATGCCGGAATAGAATAATTCAGTTATTTGTGTTTTACGTTTTTTAAATTTATATTTCGTGCTTTTTTGTTTTTTTTTAAATTCATAGTCATAGTTCGTGGTTTATGCACAAAATACAAATGTTACCAAATGATTTTTGTTATGGGTTATGTTTATGACTTTTATGGGATATGTATTGTTTATTAAAAATATAACAACTAATATTATGTTTATTGTTTTTTTTCCACTTACATGTTGGTATCAAATGTCTATCTAATTTATTCCTTTATTGTATCGACAAAAATTATGTAAAATTGTAAAATTTCCTAATATTTCATAAATTTCCGAAAGTTTCCGAAAGTTTCAGAAATTTCCTGCAACAATCAAAAATTTCTGAAATATTAACATCACTACGCCTGCGGCGCCGGCGCTTTTTTACTCTCTAGTCCTCTATTTTTTATTTTAAAAGTTGGCAACCCTAACAAAAGCCGTTAAAAAACCGCAAAAAAGAATTTTTTGGATTGACCTTGATCGCGGTGATTGACACCGCCCGGCGCCCCCTTCTAAACATTCTACATTCTACCCCAATACAAGGGGGACTGGGGGGGGGGGGATACATCTTATTTTCACGTGAAGAATCTCCCACGGAAGATGGCACATATTTTTTGAAACACCTTGTATACTTTACAAGTCGGAAATCCAGTAAATGTTAACAATAACTAGAAAATGCTAACGCTTGGTTAATGAACTTTATCGAACATTGGCAATATTTTATTATTTTATCGATAAAAACCAAAGAGGATTTGGCTCGAAATTTGACATTTCAGCTCACATTTCATCGGTTTAAGCGGCATCGTAATTAGGGGCCGGATGTCGTACAGCAAACAAAAATACTACTTCGCTGGTAATTAAATATTAAACAAGATAATAGTTGGACATTAGCGCACACAAGCCACATACCATACAGCACCAGATAAGGCAACACCGCCAAGAAAAATATGGGCAAGTTGATAAACCTTTTTAAAAATAATAAACTCATGTTTTACCCCCATCAAATTAAATAAAAAAGGCCGAACACTTAGATTGATGTGTGTCAAAAATCCCCGATGTTTGATGGTAAGCTTGAGATTATACAGGGTGGTCCGAAATATATTCGGGAAACTTCGGCCGCATATTCTGCCGAAAAAATAAATTAAAAAATTCGTATAAATGTATGTCCTAAAATGCTTCGTTTCGGAAATACAGGGTGTAAATTTTCATTTTTATTTCGATTTTTTCGAAATAATTTCTGAACTAACGTCGATTTTTGAATGAAAATTGGTGTCTGGGAGATTTTTGACATGGAAAAAGTTATCTCGATGCTCGATGTCAATATACTCGGCGCCACGTACATATAATTTTTAACTGGTTTGAAAAGTAGCAACTTTTCGTCCGTACCTGTATATCTAAAACTACTGAGTGAAAAAATATTCATTTCCGCTGTTTTTTTACCTAAAAAAAGTCTCTTTGTAAAAATCGCTACAAGTAATGGTTGGATAGATTATATTTGATAAAATCAATAAAGAAAAATTGCTGTATTACTAATATCCCTACCCTATCGATAACTAATTTCTAGAATTACTCGAAGTAACTGATTATTAATAATAAATTACAAAACTAATAGATAATTGACAAGCAAATGCGACAGTTTAATCATTACGTTTATCATCTTTACCTTTTACCTTTGTACTAATCTAACATCTAACAAGTATTTTTCAAAACAAAATAATCTATAAGATACCTAAAATTAAATTATGTAGATCAAACAGCACAAATCTAATGTACCAATCTAATGTATACCTATACATTACATATTGACTTGTCTATATCTTCTTTTTAAAAAGCAAAGAAATTTTATAAATATACCTCCAAATATGAAATTATTTTGAATCTATGAACAGTGTTGCCAGACTGATGTGGCAGAAGGCAACAAGTTCCCATTGAAAATGGTAATAGATTTTGACAGAGGGTAATATTTTTGGCGACATCTTATGGAAACGTCTAAAGTATGTACAGGGTGTCCCAGAAATAAGTGCAAATATTTTAACTGGTAGTATAGTTCAACCCCAGAAACACGCCTATTAGGTTTTTTTTCGCGAAAAATTTTTTTTTTGGAAATTCGAAATTTTTTTAAATTTTTTTTTTGGAAATTTTTTAGTTTTTAGTAAAAAAACTTAATTTCTTGATAATATGGCAACATAGGTATTATATTAAATTTACAAAAAAGAAAATCCAGAAAAGATCCAGTGGTTCTCAAAATTTCAGCAAAAAATATTTTTTTTTTGGAATTTTCAAAGTACAATAACTCCATTATTTTAGACTTATTTCAAAAACGACAAAGAGAAAATATGTTTCTTTTGTCGAGATCTACCACCCCTTAAAATATTTGCACTTATTTCTGGGACACCCTGTATAAACCTAGCCTTATCTGGTGGAATTCGTTTCAACAAATGTGTTTAAAAATATTAACGCACTGGCGCGGGTTTGGTTCAAAAAATTGAAACTTTGATAAGTAATGAGAAGCAATTCTAATGATGTAGGTACTTTATTATACCAAACCGAAAAAAATACAAAAAGATGAACCTCTTAAGACAGACATTATCAGCCGCAGTCCTAAAAAAATAACAACAAATTATTAATAGTTTAGCTTTTGTCCCAAAATAACATTGACTCAAGGGTTACAAAATTTGATGGATTACTAATCACTATAGTATCTGTGCTAGTATTAATACTTTTTAAATCTGTCCTGTCTTTTTTAAGAAAATTTCGTTAAAGGTTCCTATACAAATCACTTACTTTTGTTGACAATGTGCTGGACAATGTGAACAATTTGGGTTTTTCTTGCAACCTCGAGGTAAGTTAGAAAACTGTAATTATGTTTTTCATAAAATCAATGTTTCAATCAGCTTTAAAGGATCTTAAGTTTTTAACTTTTTCGACTGACGATGGCTGCCGGCCGTAGCGGTAAAAGGTAATAGATTTCTTAAAAAGGTAAAAAAATAATAGACTTACTGAAAAAGTAACAGATCTATGACAATTGTAACAGACTGGCAACACTGTCTATGAACTGAATATTAATCTTTTTTCTTTTTAATACATGCCCTGCCATCTACCGGGGAAACCATAAACTACGCAATATTAAATTGAAGAAAATTTTCTCCGTCACCTTTTAGGCAATGTCAGAACTATTCACTTTAATGGCTGAAGATTCCTATATTTTCCATTGCAAATATTTTTTAATCTGAAATAATTTAAACTTGTGTTTAAACATTTCATGGCATTAAATTAATTTCAATCACTCCCAACTCTAAAAATTAGAAAGTTATAAAAGTAAATTCTGTATCACTACAGAAAATAACTGAGACTACACGTTTTAAGTTATCTATGGTCTGAACGTCAGATCGTCAGATGTCAGCACTGTCAGCAGTCAAATAGTGCGTTAACCTAAGAAAATTCTGAAATAATTTCTTGATTTTACATCACATTATAATCATTATTAGTTTAAAACCTGAATAAATTTTCCCATCGAAATGAAATGAGCAATTACTACTATCTTGATGTGTCATTGTAAGTTTACTATTTTGTTCTTAAATATGTTCTTCAGTCACGTTTCTTTGTAGAATTTTAAAAGAACCTCAAGAAGTTACAGTAGTGTTTTTTAAGAAGAATATAGTCGAGGCTATAAAACAACTATTTGGAGAAGTTGGTACTGCCAGTATTACTTTTGATATCCTAAAGTACGATTCAGAAAAACTTCGAGCCATTATTAGAGTTCCTAATAGATATTTTGTTAAATTCCGCGGAAGTCTTACGTTACGCGGTAGCTACGAAGGGATTAAATCATCGTATGTTATTCATAAGGCCGCGCCACTATTGCTAGCGTTGCAGGGCGACAGTAGAGATTATATTCATTAACAAATTAATATATTATAATTAATTCTAAATATGTCGTACTGCCGAGAATTTGGCAAAGACAAAGTAATTTTTGCCACTAAGGAAGACCATGCCGTACCGAGTAAAGTTACACTGTCACCGCCCGAAAAACAACCAGGTTTAATTCTGCCCAATGGTGACATAAATTGGAATTGCCCGTGTTTAGGAGGAATGGCAACGGGACCTTGCGGAGTCCAGTTTAGAGATGCATTTAGTTGTTTCCATTATTCGAAAACAGAGCCTAAGGGTAGTGATTGTTTGGAGAAATTTAAAGCCATGCAAACGTGTATGCAGAAATATCCAACGGTATATAATAAAGAATTGGCTGATGACGATGATGATATGAGCAGCATGGTAGAAGCTGAGCAGTCTGCAGCAGCGCCAGGAAGTAGCAAGGTAGAGAAACACCACAAGAAATCAGCTAGTAACAAAGAATAGAATAGATATTTGAAAAATGGTGTATATGGGTTGCATTTGTAAATCTGAAATGTTTCTTGTATACAAACTATTTTAGGTTTAAAAATAATGTAGTAAATAAAGGTTTGTTGTATATATTTGTTATTTTTTTCCCTTACGCATTTTGCAATATTTGAACTCTGATTTGAACATTTTAACAAATCCAGTTGTCAGATAATTTCAATGTGTACATTACATTTATTTTTCATAACAGGATTTCCATTGAGCTGTTTTACTGGTTGCCTATATATTGAAAGCATATTGAAAGAAAAATTTATTTTTCTCTATCCTATATTTAATTCAAAATGTATTTGTTATAATTAATACCATTAAAAATCATTATTACCAATTAATTCATAGCAGCATTATGCATATTATATTATATATTTAAAATTTACGCATATTATTCCTTTGTTAATCGATAATTATTATATTGTAGTAATTGTAGATAACCATTGTTATTTAAATCAAATTATTTTATTTAGTTATTTTAACTAATGATATACCTAGTTGAAGATTGTTACTTATTACTGGACAGTGTAACAAACAATATTTCATTACCATATTCGATTGGTCAAGCGAAACCTTATTTACGTTTTCAGTGCGTAAAACGTCATCCGTCGTAGTGTGAAGCCACCATTATATCAATAAGCTCTCGTGTGGTTATCAAACGTCAGTCGGTAAGAAAAGTTTAATAATATTCTTAGTGAATATAATCGGGTTGTGTTAAGTGATTTTGTGCATTAAAGTGATACATTGTACTTCCTTGGCAGTGTCTAAGAAGTACTGGATTTACAATGGATAAAAATTCTAAAACGAGCAAAGGGAAACGGAGGTTAGTCAGTAGAAAGTAGATAGTGTTAGGACGAAAGTGCATCCTTTCTGTGACTTCTATTATTGTTTACATTTCTTGACACCATATGATTAGAATTAATATAAAGGTCTACAATTAAAACACTTTATTTAATCTTAAAAAGAAGAATTATATCGTAACGAAAGTGATTTTTCCTTGTCACATGCAGAGTTGTTTTTATTTTGGTACATCAAATATCACAGTTTGGTTGGGGTAGTGGTAACCTACTTTCTCTGGATGGATTAACATAAAAAATTTGGCTTCATATCTCTAATTAGTTGCAATAATCACTTCTTTGCTTTTGTAAAATATCAGTTTTTAACTTCAATCAAAACAATACCCTTGTTTATAATACCTACCCTATACGTATAAGTCTCAAAAGACACATATTGAAATAATCACATATCGAAATCTAAGTGATTAATTGTCAGATATTACAAGAAAGTATGTAATTTTTGGCATTATACATACATATACCTACTTATATTAGTCAAGTAGCATTATTCGAGTAACTCGAGTTCAATTTTTATTTGTCAATTCTTGAGGCCGATTAAGAATTAAAACAAATGTTGTATTGGTTATATCACCTAAATGAATTACTCACTATTTCATATTATAAATGGCTCGATAAAAGGAATCATATTGAAAGTAATTTTGTTTGTCCTTGATTAAAAAAGTATGTATATTATGTGTGTATTTGTTTAATTCCTAGGATCCCAGTAGTATGTAATTTGAAATATCCTTCAGTAACAATTTTACTGAATTCTGTATTATTTTAACAAATTTTGTGTCAAGGACTATAAAAAATATATAATGTGAACCAGACAGCATTTCTTTCTTAGGGCTTAGATTCAACCCTCTTACACACATCTGATACTAAATGGAGTTATTCAAGGAATAGTTATCCTAAAAAAAACGATGTTAAGTTAGCTTGGGAATGACAATCTATGGCATTCCTCATACAATATAATAAAAAAAAAATGGCATCAGCGATGGCTATGAGGTGAAGATCGCTGTCAATTTTATATGTAATACGTAAAATTATATGGGGAATGTCATCGATAGTCATTTCTAAGCCAGTTGAACGCCGTTTTTGTTTTCGAGCATACGGGACACAGCAGTCTTCATTTTTGAGCCAACTCTGACGATGTTTTTTATTTCGATTTCGGTACTTGTCTGCTAGAGGCATATTTTTTGTGAATCAGGTACCTACCTACAGCTTCAAGGGATGTACCTGTGTCTACGGTTTTGTAGATAGTACCTATTCATAGATATTTTTATTAGCTCTCATAATATACAAGCTGAACATAAAACTTTGCGGACCATTGCTACAGGGTTACAACATTACAGGGTCAGACCTGCTTTTGTTAAAATGACTACCTATATCTATAAATATCTACTGGGCAAAAAATTGACTTATACTTAAATGAAAGTAACTCTTGTATCTGTAAATCAAAGTACTTAATTACCTACTTACCTATTTATTGCAACGACCAACAACTTATTAATACCTGAGACGTACTATATTTTACAATATTTAATTCTTTTTTCTCTAATTTAACTCTATGGTATTTAATTTTAAAATGCCTTTCAAATGAAATTAAAAATTATGTTAATAACGTGGTTTTTGATGATGACTTTTGAACTGTCGAAAATTACTTTTTAATACTATTTTGGAAATTTTAATTACAGTTGTTAAATAGGTCTTGTAATTAAATTTTAATGTTCCTGATTTGACAACATTAAAGCTATCATGATTAAAACAAAACTAAGGCGCCCAAATATAACCTAATATTGAATTGTCAAAATAATATATTTAACATGTGTGGCATTGCTCATACTCTGCCTTGCGTCTCATTTTTAGTAATAATATCTAATATAAATATAATACATTTTGAAATCAATACTTTTCTATTATACCTACCTACTAACTTGGAATAATAACTGTACAGGGTGTCCCACTAAGAATAGCTCTCGGCTGTATCTCGGAAAGTATTAGCGGCTGCGAAAAAATATTTATAATTAAAGAAGCTAAAGTTGTTGGACTATCAAAATGTTGATCTAATTTTTGAAAGCAATTTTTTTCCAAAGCCTACCATGACTTCACTGAATCATCGTTTCTTGTTCACTGTTATTAATATCTTAATTATTAGACATTAATACATCTGGTATTATGGTATTCTGGTATTTCGTCGATTTTAAAATAAACTAACTATTTCTATCTTATTTTTTTGTTAGAATGGGCATAATCAAGAGGGCTACTGATATACCGTGTTGTAAAAATAAGTGTAATTAAGGGCTTATTTTTTGGTATTTATTATAAATTTGCTAATATCTTCGGTTTGAAAGAAGGTATCAAGATGCGGTTTTAGCTGACTTTTTAAGCTTTTACTACTCTTTACTATCAGGTAAAATTACATATACTATCGTATTTAATTTTTTTGAAAAAATGCTATGTTTGTTAAATTGTAAGAAAGCGCCCCCTAGCGTCTACGGTCAAAAGCTTATTTTTATTATTTATATGGTATAATATAGAGTGAAGAAACGCTCTTTTAAACGAGCCCTCACTTGTTGAATTCCGATCAACCAGTCCGGAGTTATTAACATTTAAATAAAAACAAAGCTAACCTTCCCCCACCACTTTATTTTAGCAGATAGGGGAAAATGGTTTTAACAAAAAATATGCAAACATTACTGAAAATTATGAATCTATTATTTATAGTATCCGTTATCTAGGCAAAATTGTGTAAAAACTCCTTTTTCTTATTTTTAATAGCAGTTGCGCCCTCTAGCGGCCGCTTTACGTACTTGAAAATAATTTCCAGCAATTTATAATGCTCTCTTTAGTTATAAATATTTTTTTCCGCAAGCTCTACAACTAATACTTTCCGAGATACAGCCGAGAGCTATTGTTAGTGGGACACCCTGTACAATGTACAGTGTGTACCAACAATACCCAGCTTTCATGGAGTTCAAACCTGGATATTGTTGGTCTACCTCATTTTAGTTGTCAAATTCTTAGGTAAAATACCTGTAGAAGTGTATACTGGGTGGTGCATAGATTGATCTATGGAAATACCATAGATTTTTGAAGAACAGATATCACATTATGCATTTTAACCCGATGCAAAATGCACATTATGCATTTTAACCCCATTTTTTTTTCGGAGGTTGACTACGTACTGTAAAAATCAACTGAGATAGAGAAGGCGACATTGCCACATATCAAATTTGCGCCTATCTACTTAGTTTGATTTGCAGAAAAGGTGAATTTAAAACCTTCACCGGATTTCAATAAATCTCAATTTCTTAATTAAATTAATAGTTTATTTTTAAAGAATCATGCGTAATAATATGTTATTAACCAGAGGATATATGCGTTACTATTAAAAGACATGTTTACTGTTTAATGTGCTGAAACGTCTGGAACTATTGGCAACGTCGCTGCTAGTCTTCCAGAATGAAATGAGCCGTCCGTCCCACCACCCCTCGCGACGGCCCACTGCCCCTGGTCAGCGTACTACGTTTAGCTTACGGTGTGTTTGAAGTCGGAATCAAGTCCGAAGTGAACTTTTCAGTGTTTTTCAGTAGTTTTTGTTTTTGTTTAATGTACTTTTGAATCTGCGAATTTTCAATATGGTACGACAGTGTCAAATGTGTGAACAAATAAGCTCAAATTACCCGAATTTGTCTTTTCACAGGTAGATATTGTTCCCGCCGCGCCGTAATCGTACATAGGCGTCCCACAAGGGAGCCTCTCACAATTAAAATAATTTCCAATTATATTTGTTGAATTTTGATCTATTAAAACAAGAACGTAGTAGCCGGTAATTGAATTATAATTCGTCTCAATTACTTAAACCTAACTGTTGTAGATCATAAGAAATTTGAATATAAACGTTACATTTGAAACTTTATTATAAGCCAGAAAGTGACATTTTTTTCTTAAAATTGCGTCCTATTTTGGTCATTATATACGATATTCTAAAGGAATTTTGCTCAACAAATAAACAAAGGTGTTTACCCGACTTTTTTACATTTTATTGCTTTATTATATCTGCCCCTTCGGCCTTGTTTAGACAATTTTTTACCACCGTACAAATACATCTTCCTAGAGTTATTTGTACGGTGTGTTTAACTTTTTTTAGAATGGGACGAACTGTAAATAATTCTTAGGCTACTAGTTTTATACATACCTATATAGAGAGTGACCCAGGCCTCCAAAAAAGCTTTTTACCTATTACG